AACAAATTTTTACTCAATCTAACTTTTACAAACTAACATTTATAAAATTCAATACAACCATAAATTATATTACCTAATTTAAATTTTACTTAATTTAATTTTTTTAAAAGTCAAATTAAAAATAAGTTACTTTCTTACCACTAATTTAAACGTATCCAATGTGTGGAGCCCATGGACCTCCTACCTCTTGGAATCTATTGGACTTGTCGGCATCTAATCATCTCTGTCTCCTTTCATGTTCTCTTTTTAAGTAGTGTTAAATGACCAACTTTTTACGGTAGACTCTCAGATTCTAACAATTCAAGTTAATTTATGTATTTTTTAAGTAAAATTATAGTAATAATTTTATAAATTGTGAAGTCTAGATCATTGAAATTCAATCCAATGTTGATGAAGGGGGTAGAAAAGAGAAGCTCTTTTCATGTGATGATCCAGCTCCATTAATAGAGCTATTTATCATAAGTAGATTTACGCGAGTCAAGACAAAAATCCGCTCACACACATATATATACACTTATATCATACGTTGTAAATCATTATTGAAGAGCTGCTTTTAAAAGTCTCAATCACCATTCCAAACAAAACCTTAATAAAATCAATTGATGAATAGAGCAGAGTGAAAAAGATAAAGAAAGAATTAAAATATGAATATGCACCGTTGAATTCGGTGCGCGCATGTGTGTCGCTTTTCGTGCAGCAGCCAAGAATCCAGGATCTCTCACACGTCCAAAGAAAAAGTCAGATTATATTAGAATAGTTTTAGGGCATGTGAAACACATAAGTTTACTCTCTAAACAAACTTGACTTTGATTGACTTCGAAACTTGGTGGAACTTTCTTCTTCCTTCACTAAAAAGGACATGAATGTGAGCAAGCTAAGCTAAGAGAGCTTAGATGAGTGTCGAGAGTGGTTCTTTGGTTATTATCAAGCTGTGTGCTCTCCTCAGATATGGCGGAGTTGGTGGGAGGCGCTGTTTTAGGGCTCGTGTTTACAGAACTCTGGAATGCAGTTAAGGAAGCAAAGGATCGTTCAAAAAACTTGAAACCTCAATTGATGGAGTTGGAAAGGACACTGGGAATGCTAGATCCGATGATAGAAGACATAAAAAGAATCAACACAAAGCTGAATGAATCGGATCAGAGTGAAATGGAACGCTTAAAATCAATCATGGAAGACGGCAAGGAGTTGGTTTCCAAGTGCCTGGGAGTATCACGGCGGAACTTCATCAAGAAATCATATTATCAGAAGAAGCTGGTGGAACTGGACAACAAAATCATAAGGTTCAATAATAAAATTCTTCAACTCACCATATTCCGGGAGGTCAAGTACGTACGTTTGGAACAAAGGTCCGGATTCGATGAACTCTCTGATCAGATTCAAAGCCTAAAATCTGATACTAACCAATGTAAACCATGTCATACTGGCATGTCTTCCACTAGTTCTGTCGCCAACGGACCTACTACATGTTCTCCAGCATCTCTTACCTGTTCAGTCCCCGGAGCAGCCGTCGGAGCTACTACACATTCTCCCACATCTCTTACCAGTTCAGCTGCCCGAGCTAACACATGCTCTAGCACATCTCTTACCGGTTCAGTCACCGGAGATACTACATGTGCGGCTGGCACATCTCTTACTGGTTCAGCCGCCGGAGATATTGCATTGCCTTGCAACAATATGAACCAATCTATCCCTTTCATCTCGGTGACTTCGATCTTGCTGATTTAGATCTCGGTGACTTAGATCTTAACTATCTTAGATCTCTCCAAAATCCCCAAGTAGTTCCCAGTGCTTCGAGCAATCTAGTACCTCCCCCAGTTCCTAGGGCTCCAAGCACTCTCATACCTACCCTAATTCCTAGAGCTCCAAGCTTTGGGACTGTTGGACTTATTATCTTAATTCTTCTCCCCAGCGAAAATGTTATTCTGAAAATCACTGCTATATTTATCATCATTTGCAAAGCAACGAAAGGTACCATGTCCGAGCTCGAGAAATCTGAGAGTGGGATATGGATGGTAATAAATGATGTTGGGATGCTTGGAACGACGATGAAACAACTAGATGATACCATGAGTTCCCTAGTTCATGTGCTGGAGGAGATAGAATCGAAAAGTGAACAAGTAACGATGAAGATGAATGAAGCAGATCTAAGTGAAGCCGCGGAAAGCCTAAGAAGTCTGTTGGAAGAGGGTGAGAAGCTAGTTAGGTAGAGCTCTGATACAGGATGGTGGAACTTTGTTAAGAAGTGGCAATACCAAAAGAAGATGGTGGAGTTAGATAACAAGCTCTTGAGGTTCTGAGAACAGAGCACACAATGACCGATCAAAATATTATTGTGGGTCAATGATTTTAGTTACGATTGGCCAAAGAAAAAAAAAAGATTTTAGTTACTTAGCTTGTGCGTATGTTTGCTGATATGGAGATATATATATATATATATATATATGATATTATTTTATACTTGTGATCCATCATTTCTTTCAAAATTCTTGCACCCATGTGAGATATGGCTTGAGTTAAAATCTTAAAAGGATGAAGCAATATGACCGCAATTCATGTGTAATGCAATAAATTGCCAAGGACGCTTCATAATAAAACGTACTTGTTTGATCTAAGTTCATCTGTTTACAGCACAGGTCCCCCCCCCCCAAAAAAGAATCATAAAGGAACAAAATCAAAATTACAAGCAAAAAAAAGCATTAAAATTAAAACGGAGAATCAAATCCATTATTTATCTTGAACCGACTCTTTCTCTGCACAATCAGTACAGCTGCTGCGAATGAAAGCCTTTGTCCTGGTACCCGTTTGGATTGGCAGTGAACAACTATGATTTTACATAATCGTGAAATTTATAAATGACATTGGCTATAAGTGACACTGGTTAATCGTGATTTTTTTTAAATTTTTTTTTATAAGTGATTTTAAAAATTGTGATTATGTTTGGTTTTCATTTATTAAAATCATTTATGGGTGTATAATTACTAAAAAGGATATGAAGTTAATAAAGTTGTTTACATTTTCATAATTATTATATTTAATAATAAATTATAATTTAATAAATGACATGAATATTTAAATATTATTTTTATTTTAAAATTATTATTATTTAAAATCACTTACAAAATTTATGTGTAGTACAAATATTAAATAAAAGACCCCATATAAATAAAAGATGAATGAAAATATAAAAAAAAATTGATTAGCAATTTTAGTAACATAAATAAGGAAATTGAATGTTTAATCAAAATTATAACTAAAAAATTTAACGATGCTCCTCGAATCAGAATATTACCTAAATATTTGATTCCATTGTTTTAATCATATGTCATCCGTTATCTAATTTATTTAAAAATGTCTTTTAGATAAAATTAAAAGAAAAATAGTTTCATATTGTATGTTTTTTAAAAAAATTAAAATAATTACCATTAGAATGAGGGGTAGATTGGAGAAAATTTAGTTACTGAAAATTCATCGGGATTTTTCAAATGCATAAGCTACTTCTTGTTGCTTATCCTAAAAGTGCAGTAAAAGGTTAAAATCACGATTCATCGGGATTTTATAAAAATTATCCAAACACTCTAAACATGCTTTATAAGTACTTATTTAAATTCAAACGAGTTTATTTGAGATCCTACTACTTGACCAAACAGCCTCCTAGTCTCCTGGTCTAGAACTTAGTCCCACATCGGGAACCGAGGCTTTGAGCACAGCGGAGAGCAGATATAAAAGCCAAACGAAGACTCCTCACAAAGCATACCTTTCTCGGCCTTTTGGCTAAGATCAAGTGTAGTATCTGTTCTTATCAGTTTAATATCTGATACGTGGGCCATCGGCTCACATGATATTAAATTAATTTTTTGAGGGGGAGGGCCCACCTCAGTAGCTTGCTACTGGGGCCCTTGCGTGTCGCCCATGCGTTGCACTGCTGCACGGGCCTGGCGCACCCACCAAGTCTAGTTTAAGCTTCCGATCTTGTGAGCCACCGGGGTATAATGTTTTCTACGTCATTTTAAATTTAAATGTAATTTTTTTAGTAATAAAAATAAAGAATGTATTTATTAAAACGAAAAATTAATTGAAATATATGAAAGCCACGGGGGTATAATGTTTTCTACGTCATTTTAAATTTAAATTTAAATGTAATTTTTTTAGTAATAAAAATAAAGAATGTATTTATTAAAACGAAAAATTAATTGAAATATATGAATGATTTAAATTCAATTTGAACCTTTATGGGTTATATAATAAAGCGCATTACTCATGTCGTATTTCTGAAAATAAAAATTGTTTATAAGCCTGTTTGAATCCCACGAATTATTGGGTGCTTGATTAAATGAGAGGACTTTTTATTTGAAATTACCATTAACCACGCCTTTTGCTTTCGCTTATATTTTTCCGAAACAAACATTCATGCAATTTCACGGTACACGCACGCTCACAAATAATACTGAGGGAGTGTTTGGATACCTCGTGTGTTTTTTAAAATGCTGTTTTACAAATTGAAACAGATTTTTTCACATATTCATTTTGTACATTGTAAAATTATTTTCAAAAATATGATTTCTATCCAAATATCTCGTGCACAATAGGAGGAAATAAATCCTCAAGTTAGCAGGACAGTGTCCAGTATCCCCACCTAACAAGTGAAATGATGTTACTCTCGTAGTAAAATTTCATAATCATATTTTAATCTTGCCCCAAAAAAAAAAATATAATAGTTTTCAATAAATGATTGAGATTAGGAATTCAGACCTAGAGAAAAAGCAGCACTGAATAATGGTGATATTCATACTCTCTAAATAGTTAATCGCAGACCCAATAATGGTGATATTCATACTCTATAAATATTTGTACAATAATTGCAAAAACATGTGGGGACTGTTGGCCCCATTTCTCCTGGAAGTCATTGGACCTGTTGGCCCATTCTACTCAGCCCATCTCTTCTTCTCCTCTCTTCTCATATTCTCACTCGCGTTTTTAAGGAATAAACACGAGCACTTTCTATGGGTCCATCCGGCCGGAACCTCCGCCCTGGCTGTGCTTCCTCCGCCGCCACCAACTCACCTTTGCGACCAGCATTCGATGTTCTTGACGTTGATTGTGACGGAAAAATAAGCTACGACGATCTTCACTCTTCCTACAACAGGTTTTGCCACCATGACACCCAGAAAGGCGAAGTAATAGGGTGGATGATGACGGTGGCGGACACCAACGGAGACGGGTTTGTGGAATACGAAGAGTTCGAGCGCGTGTTGGAAATGGGAGGCGGCGGAAAAGCAGCATGGGACAGTGGATTGATGATGAAGGAAGTGTTCAGAGTGATGGACAAGCACGACGGCGACGGCAAGCTCGGCCACAAAGATCTGAAAAGTTTCATGGAGTGGGCTGGGATCGCCGTTACCGATCAAGACATCGACGATATGATCGCACTTGGCCGCGGTGACCTAAACGACGGCGTGAGCTTGGATGGTTTCATTGGGTTACTGGGTGGTGTTGGATCTTGATGTCGTCGGCGACGACTAAGTGTTATGTCTTTTTCGATCACTGTCTTTCGTCGAGAAAATCAGACGGATGAGGTGGAAGATGTTCGCAACAATGAACTGCTTGAGAGTAATAAATTGTAATTTGAAGTTACCTGAATTGACAAAACACCACATGTAGTGTAATATATGTCCTTTGTTTTTCCTTTTTTTTTTTTTTTGTGACCTTGATGTAATGTAATATATATCAAAGTCTGTGGGCTGCACACAAGTAAGGTTAATTAATCTGCAAGTCCTTATAGTTTCAACGAATTTTGAATTAAATCTCTATAATTTTTTTCTTTTTATTAGGTCATTATACTTTTATCTTTTTTTAATTAGATCCTTGTATTTATTTTTCTTTTAATTAAGTCCTTATAATTTCACTAAATTTTTAATCAGGTCTATGTAGTTTTAATTTTTATTTATTAATTAAATATAAGCTTAATTAAATATATTAATACTGAAATATAAAATATTAATAATTAAATTAAATTAATAATTATGTAATAAAAAAGTAATAGAATTAATTAATTCAGGAAATTTCTTTAGAACGATTAATTTTTTTGCTGAAAAAATTAAAATTATTATAATAATTCAATATCTTTAGAATATTATTGTTTATAAACTAATATTAAATAATATATACTATTTTATGTTTATATAATAGTACTATTAGAATTTATAAAATAAAAAATAAAAAATTCAGGGATTTAATTAAAAATAAGGTGAACTTATAAGGACTTGATAAAAAGAAAAATAAATATAAGGATCTAATTAAAAACAGGTGAAAGTATAAGGACCTGATAAAAAGAAAAAAAAACTATAAGGACCTGATTCAAAATTAGTTGAAACTATAAGGAGCTGTGAATTAATTATCCCTTTATATTATCCCCCATTTTTAACACAAAAAAATTAATAAGATTTCAATTTACTTTTAAATATAAGAATCATTATAAAGTAAAGAAAAAGTGAAAAAGAAGAGTAGAGAAGTAGAGAGAAGAATTTCATTCAAGGTATTAAATACAAGATACATACTTTTTTATTTATAGACATAGTTTTGTATTTTAATAGAATCTACAAATTGCATAATAATAAAAGATAATTATGTGATGTAAAGATATTGAAGATGATAGAAGATAATAAAATGTATATTGATATCTATAAAGATATTATTATATTTATAACAAAATTTTAATTTATTATGTCTTATATTTATCTATTTTTTTCTTAAAATAGTCTTTATAGAGATTGCATATGTTGAAGGTTCTATCAAAGGATAATTGTAATACACATGATTAATAAAGATATTTTAGAAAAAATAATATATATTTACTGTAAATAACTAATTATATAATTTCTTTAAAATCCATAAATTAGTTATTTAATTGTTATAGTAAATACTGGAGGAAGTATATTATATATCACTTCACTTGTAGGAAAAAGCTAAATACAATTCATGGTCTTTAATGATCGTTTTTTTTTATTTAATTCTTCTTAAAAAGAGATGAAGATGGGAGAGTTACATTGAGAATGATTTGTAAATGTAAAGGAAAAAAAAGTTTAATAAGATAAATTTGAAAAAATTTATCAATATAATACATTTTTTATGATATGTGAGAATGAATTACAATGGACTTATAATAAAAATTAGAATAATATTTATATAAATACCATTTTAATCAATTAACGAGAAACAAGAAAACAGCATCGATTAGTTTGGTATTCGAGCTGGTAGAGTAGAAATATGATATGAACATGAAAGATATAACAATTAACCAAATACGGATATTTCTTGATCAACATAATAATTTGCCAATATTTCAATGGAGATAGAATGAGAAAGATAATTGTCAATGAGAAAGATAATAAAAAAAGTATATATTTACACACGTTACATCATTTTTTTATTTTTAACTAATATTTTTAAATAGAACAGTACTTTATATTTTTAGTTAAATAACATAAACATCACATTTTAATTTTAAAAAAATGATTATCCCTTATATAATGCACCGAACGCACTTGCTGTTACATAAATATAACAATTTAACTCCAACAAATTGGAAAGAAGAAAAAACGACACTAGAATTTTCTCCCCCTTTTTTACTCCAATAATGCGACCGACTTTTCCCAACCCCCGTGTCCTTCCAAAAATGGGTTTGTTTCGCAGGGCGTCCAGGGATTTAAAAGTTACTTATTTCAGCTTAGCTTTCGCCCGTAGTTAGATTCAAAGCACTATTGTTTAAGTGGGGGGGGGGGAAAAAAAGAACCTACTTATAACTCATTAAAAACTACTTATGAGCCCATGCTACTTATAATTTACTTTTTATTCAATCATAATTCAAATAATTTTTTATCCAATCTAACTTTACAAGTTAATATTTATAAAATCCAATTCAAACATAAATCATATTATACAATTTAATTTTTATTCAATCTAACTTTTTTAAAAATTAAATTAAAAATAAATTACTTTTCGTATTGCTAATCTAATCGAACCCAATATGTGGAGCCCATGGACCTCCTATATCTTGGAATCTATTGGACTCGTCGGCATCTAGTTATCTCTGTGACTCTCCTTTCATTTTCTTTTTTTAAATAGGGTTAAATGATCAATTTTTTACAGTAAACTCCTCATATCAGATTTTAACAATTCAAGTTTATTTATGTATTTTTTAAGTAAATTATAGTAATAATTTTATAAATTGTGAAGTCTAAATTATTGAAATTCAATCCAATGGTGATGAAGGGGGTAGAAGGGAGAAGCTCCTTTCATGTGATGATCCAGCTCCATTAATGTAGCTATTTATTATAAGCAGGTTTATATATATACACTTACTAAATTATAACTGAAGAGATGCTTTTAAAAATTTCAATCACCGTTCTAAACAAACTCTTAATAAAATCAATCATCAATTATGAAGAGCGTAGAGTGAAAAAGATAAAGAAAGAATTAAAATATGAATATGCACCATTGACTTTGGTGCGTGCATGTGTGTGGATTTTCGTGCAACAGCCAAGAATCCAGGACCTCTCACACGTCCAAAGAAGAAGTCATGCATCAAGATAACAATAGAATGAAACACATACAAAGTTTACCCTCTAAACAAACTTGACTTTGGTTGACTTTGAAACTTGATGGAACTTTCTTCTTCCTTCATTAAAAAGGACATGAATGTGAGCAAGCTAAGCTAAGAGAGCTTAGATGAGTGTCGAGAGTGGTTCTTTGGTTATTATCAGGCTGTGTGCTTCTCAGTTACGGCAGAGTTGGCGGGAGGCGCCGTTTTAGGGCTCCTGTTTACAGAATTTTGGAACGCAGTAAAGGAAGCAAAGGATCGTTCAAAAAACTTCAAACCTCAATTGATGGAGTTGGAAACGACACTGGAAAGGCTAGATTCGATTATAGAAGACATAAAAAAGAATCAACACAAAGCTGAATGAATCGGATCAGAGTGAAATGGAACGCTTAAAATCAATTGTGGAAGACGACAAGGAGTTGGTTTCCAAGTGCCTGGGCATATCACGGCGGAACTTCATCAAGAAATCATATTATCAGAAGAAGCTGGTGGAACTGGACGGCAAAATCATAAGGTTCAATATTAAAATTCTTGAACTCACCACATTCCGGGAGGTTAAGTATGTACGTTTGGAACAAAGGCCCGGATTCGATAAACTCTCTCATCAGATTCAAAGCCTAAAATCTGATGCAAACCAATATAAACCATGTCATTCTGGCATGTCTTCCACTAGTTCTGTCCCCGCCGGAGCTACTACATGTTCTCCCACATCTCTTGCCGGAGCAGCCGTCGGAGCGACGACATATTCTCCCACATCTCTTGCAGGTTCAGTCGCCGGAGCAGCCGGCGGAGCTACTACACATTCTCCCACATCTCTTACCAGTTCAGCTGTCGGAGCTAGTACATGTTCTAGCACATCTCTTGCCAGTTCAGCTGCCGGAGATATTGCATTGCCTAGCAACAACGAGCCAATCTGTCCCTTTGATCTCGGTGACTTAGATCTTAACTATCCTATACCTCTCCAACCTCCCCAAGTAATTCCCAGTGCTCCAAAGCATTCTCGTACCTCCCCCAGTTCCTACGGCTCCAAGCACTCTCGTACCTACCCTAGTTCCCAGAGCTCCAAGCTTTGGCACTGTTGGACTCATTATCTTAATTCTTCTCCCCAGCGAAAATGTTATTCTAAAAATCACAGCTATATTTATCATCATTTGCAAAGCAATGAAAGGTATCATGTCCGAGCTCGAGAAATCTGAGAGTGGGATATGGATGGTAATAAATGATGTTGGGATGCTTGGAACGACGATGGAACAACTAGATGATACCATGAGTTCCCTAGTTCATGTGCTGGAGGAGATAGAATCAAACAGTGAACAAGTAACGATGAAGATGAATGGAGCAGATCTTAGCGAATGAAGCTGCGGAAAGCTTAAGAAGTTTGTTGGAGGAGGGTGAGAAGCTAGCTAGGGAGAGCTCTGATATAGGATGGTGGAACTTTGTTAAGAAGTGGCAGTACCAGAAGAAGATGGTGGAGTTAGATAACAAGCTCTTGAGGTTCCATAGCCTTTACCTACAAAATCGCCCACCAAAGAGTAACGACAGAGCAAGTGATGATTCAGAAATGAAAGACGATGAAGAATCGTTTGAAGAACCTGCACATTATGACGAGGAAATAATATTATTTTGTTCCATTTGTAATCCAAAGGGTATGGCTAATCTTTTCTAAATATACACCTTTCATTTTTCTTAAAATGTGTCCACAAGGACTTTGCTGACGGCCAAAGACAAAGAACTATATAGTAATGTTTTGTCTTGATTGAAACATACTTTTCATTGATGTTGACGGATTTGGGTGTCCGCTGCCTCGTCTGATGCACCTTAGTATTTTCCTACTTCTTAAATATTTTTTTCTTGTTTCTATTTATCATTATATTTTATATAAAATGAATGAAATTTTGACAGCTTGTGGTCAAAAATGGTGCCTTTTCAAAATTTTTATATTTTTTAAAAAATTTGTATCTAAATTAAAAGGAACTAAACCAATTTTAGATTGTGCTTTCTTTGAAAAATTATTAAAAAAAATTGAAAACATCGCCATATTTTTGCCTATGAAATATCAAAATTTCACTTAATTTTTTACAGAATCTAATGGCAAAAAGAAAAGAAAAGAAACATTTGGAAAGTGAAAAAAAAATTGACGTGCAACGGAAGAGACGGGATAAGTAACTAACATCCCAAACCCAATGTTGATCCTATTAGATTTGGATCTGGACAGACTTAATGCCTTTTTAGAGCCACGTTTAAGTGGCTTTTTTAAGTAGCTTTCGGCTTTTGACATGTTTGAGTGTGTTTGGAAGAACTTAAAAAATGAAGAACTCCCACCAAAATCACATACTTAAGTCAAAAGCTAAAAATTGCAGCTTATAGAGTTGAAAAAGTGGAGAGAGAAAGACAAAATATGGGTCCCATTTCTTTCACTCAAACAAACTTATTTTCACTCAATTATAATCTAGAGTTAAGGTGCGCCTAGCACCCCGAACTATTTACCCAGATGCGTCCAGTGGCCTAAAGTAATTTTGGGTGCATCCAGTGTCCTAAACTAATTAAAATGGTGCGTCATATCCTAAGTTAACATAAATGTTATGTTTAACCGTTACTTTCCTGACTCAACTTAAAGTTGACCCCAGATATTCTACATGGTAGACACATGGGCACCCGATGTGTATTATTCTTACTCAAAAGTCAATTTATTTAGAAGAGAGGAAGGAAATAAATTCAATTTTGAGTAAGAATAATACACATCAAATGTCCATATGTCTACCATTTAGAATATCTGGGGTCAACTTTAAACTGAGTCAGGAAATTAACAGTTAAACATAACATTTCTGTTAGCATGGGATATGGACGCACCATTTTAATTAGTTTAGGACACTGGATGCACCCAAAATTACTTTAGGCCACTGGACGCACCTAGGTAAATAGTTTAGGGTGCTGGGCACACCTTAACCCTATAATCTAAATAATTTTTTATCAATCTCACTTTTATAAACTAATTTTTTTAAACTCTAATTCAACACAACTCAACCTTCTCTAATTTAACTTTTACCTAATTTTACTTTTTTAAAAATCAAATTAGAAATAAGTTGCTTTTTCTACTTTCAATTCAAATGGACTCTTGTCCAGTTACATGAACTCCATTACATTTACAGGATCGTCAAGAAATGAAAGTGAGGCATATGGATGCCGGAGAACATGAGCCGTACAGCATGCTAAACAATAATGCTATCCCCTACCAGTTTTTGGACTACAATCCGCCTGTTTCAAATTTAATTGGGGGGTTTCAACAATATGCATTGGGACGCTAAAAACAGAGAGCTTGGTGCAACTTTCTTGTTGTGATTTTTTTTTTTTTTGGGTTAAGTATTTTCTAGTCTTCATCATCAAAATCAGGCTCAGCCTATATGCACTTGCTTGTTGACCTGCGGGAACAACGTTTGACTTCAATTTTTAGGAAACTTATTTGTTGCGTATTTGAATCTATATTGTATTGAATATTTGGTTGGTGTGTTTTTGTTGGCCTTTTGTGCTATCTTTCTTTGTTTTCTAGGATTCGTTTAATGTGCTCATGGATCAGAATGATTGTACTCTTATTTAATCTACATCTTCTCTTGTGTGAGTAGTGTCTATATTCAATTGTGAATCGTGGATCGGAGGTTAGTTCTAATTGCACCGAGAAATAGGAAATCTAAAATAGGACCTACAATTAACAGTTTGAGATTGCATGAAATAAAAAGCAATTTTTTCAGTCTTCATAGAAATATATTGAATAGCTTCAAAGAGCTTTTTGGCTTGAAATACTCATCCAGTGATCTTGTGCAATACATAAGCCATGAAGATGTTCATTCATGTCGGATTGGGATATAAAAAATGATGATAAAATGTGAAAATATGTGTGTGTGTGTGTGTGTGTGTGATCCCAATAGTTTGAATTTGGACAGACGTAGGGAGTGTTTCGAGAACACCAAAAGCACTTGAAACTAAATTACTCACTTAAGTGAGTTACGTTACATTTACAGGATCCCCAATGCATACAAAAGAATATGAATCATAAAGCATGCTCAACAATTTACAGATCTTTCAGCAGGTTTTGAACTATAAGTAGAGCTTCTGATTTCTGATTCTAACTCGAAATAAGAAATTTTATCACTGAGAAGTCCCAAAAGACTTGTGGGTGAGAAATTATAATCGTGAATTATTGATCATCTTCCCTCATCGCACTCTCCCTTATCAATTACAACTCCTTTACTTGTGACTGACACAATTGACAGAGTTGGAATTAATAAAGAAGGGTAATGGGAGTGACAATTTATATATAAATTAGAATAAGTTGATCAATTCACAATTGTAATTTCTCACTCACAAGTACTTTGGGATTTGAGATCAATTTAATAAAATCTCCTTCTTGAGAACTGAGTGTAATATTCAGTACAAATCATGTGTCTCTTGCACTTAATTTATTTCTTATTTTTGTCCACATTTATTCTTTAAAAAAAATACTTCTTCTAATTCATAATATAGGTCGCTTCCAGAAAAATAGTTGAGCCAAAATATAAGTAACTTAAAGAGTAATGAACACTTATTTATCAATTTTGTCACTGTAATTAATGTTTAAAAATAACTCCTCATATTTTTCTCTCTCTTGCACAACCGGGTAAAGTTGAAAAAAATTCAATTTGAAACATGTGTAATGAGTTAACTATTATTTTTTGATATCGACAAATTAGTTAAAGTAATTTGTACGGTTGAGCGAGGAATTTCTTTATTGCTATGGAATTTCTAACGATAAGCACATCAAATTAATAGCAACGTGCAGGGGCGTACGCCAAGGAAAGCCAAGCATGATATGGAGCTATTCCTATAGCCTAGGCGATTGAAGATTTCCAGTCACCACAATGGACAAACAAAATCCAGAAAATGAAGAAGGAACCCCCAACAAGAGATAGACCCAAGAAAATTTCCTCAACATTCCATCCTCTCGAGGCAAGGACAAAATAGAAAAGAAAGGCTTCTGCAAATTCGGTGGCTTCTCGTGACCATCATATAAATGGACAAACAATTGCCAAGCAAGAAATCTATCACATATTGCTTCTGCATAGACTAAAAGGCCACAATAACCATAATCTTCAAGATTTCATTAATCATATTTACAAGAAGGATAATGTCCTGTCATTTTGATGAGTTTTATCACTTGCTTCATCCTCACATTAGCTATCCCGGCCAGTTTACGAAGTTCATGTTTCTTCTGACGTGTATAATGTTCTGTCAATCTGCAAAGGGCACTTATAAGTTCATGTTAGCGACTTACTGCTAATCATAACAGTAAGTCGCTAACCACAATTAAATAGACTAAGGCGACTCTCTAATGTGGTAATGACACATTACATAACAATTAGGACGGCTTAGCTCCATCAGTTCAAAATTTCCAGTTCTTGTCTCAATTACTTTTAACCCCTTCTAGCCATAAAGGAAGGAATAATGACCACAGAAAAAAACGGAGGGGGCTTTTGCAAAAAAGTCTAGTGATCTGAGGGAGGAACGAATGGCTTCAATAAGGAACTCTATACTTGTACCTGGTTAAAGGCAAATAGTTAGTCACGAAGGATTTTTCCAGAGCAAATTAAAGAAAGAATAAAAAGGGAATTCCTTTTCACATAAGAAGAGCTACAATAAAGAGTAGCTCCAAGATAAACCAAAGGATTATTCCCTTGAACAGTAAGGAAGGATCCAGTTTGGTCACAATAATTCTAAGGATCTTCAGAGAAAAATTAACTGTGCACTCTGTTCCATTGAGATAAAATATAAACAAAGGAAAATGACCCGAAATACTGAAAATCAACTCACAATCCCAGGTAATTCCATTGATAATCCCCTTGGGAATTAAATTAAAATTAAGAACATCAGTGAATCTGTGTGAAATTGAACACAATTTAGCCCATATGACTTAATAAATGAACATGAAATCAAAAAATTACCTTTCTCATTCAACTCATTCCTTCAGAAAACCAGATAAAGAAACAGAACCTCAGAGTCATTCATCAGATCTCTTCTTAAATCAGAATCAAACTGCAAAACCTCGAATCTCAACAAAAATCCTCAGCGCCAGTCTTCCACCGGAGACGACACCATCAATTCTAACACTGCGCATTATTCTTCAGTTCCTCGAAGAAATTGCAAATATCTCCAGTTTTGGCGGGAAAACTATTTTCAACAATAGCCTACATAATTAGTAAACGAGCATGGAAACGCAAAACCACCTTTCTATTTCAATCGACCATCCAGGAAATCAAATAAACTAACAAAATGAGAGAGCCACCGATTGATCTCTTTAAAATTATTATCAAACCACAAAAAAAAAAAAGGAACCTCACCGACAATGTTCCACCAAACTCGAAGCCGTCGATGCCTACGCTTGCACATCATATTCTAATCCGCCTTCTTCAATCTCTTCCGGAAATTGATTCTCTGATTTTCCGTACCTCCAGATTTGGCGGGAAAACAGGAAGGGAAAAGAGAAGCCAGAGTGAGATATCGGATGTGATGGAGGAGACGCATCGCGAGTTTGCGCGTGAATCTAAAACAACCGTTCGATTGGAATACGAAGGGCTGTGATTGGCCTAGATTCACGCACAAACTCCAGATGCGGCTCATCTCTGTCAGAACGTAAGGCGTGATTTGTAATGTTCAAAACGGAGACACAGAACCAGCAGGCGAGTAGGGTGATCCCTTTATATATACAGCGCGAGTGGGCGCTCCAGGATTAGGGTTTTTTTTCCCCCTTTTTTTTTAATAAATTTTTAATAGTTGTAGCGTCACATCCCCGACAAGACTTTGATAATTAATCTTAATTATTACCTAATCAGGCTAGTAGTAGCTGCCGTTTCCGGTAAAATCATCAAGGACTAATTTTAGCTAATTATTTTTAATCATGAGTTCAAATCAATATAATCGATTAATTGTTTGATTAAAAAAATGTGAAAAGTGCGCCGTAATGCGGGCCGCAAATTATCACCAGTCCATGCTAGTTTATTTTCAGGTATAATTAAGAGAGATAGGAAGGTACATGAAGGTCCAATGAAGTATGAAAATTTCAAAGTAATTTGTCCGCGTCGCTTAATTTTTATGAAATTGGTTGTTACTCTTTCGGTCCTAAATATAAAACTCTTATACAAATACATTTACACATATTAATATAAAAATTTTATATTTAGGATCAGAAGAGTATTATTTTAGTTGTTGCTGTCGTTTCATAATTAAAGTTATTATTTGTTAAAATGTTGTATTAATTGATATTAAGTAAAAACAATTTTGTGAATTAGTTAATGTTGTATTATTTGTTGTTATTTTTTGATAAGTTAAAATTGTTTCTTGTTATGTTATAAATAGGTCTTATATTAAGGACCGGATAAATATATTATGATTATTTCTTCTTTTCATTTGTTCTTCAGATTCTAAATTAAGGATGTGTAGGTAATTTTATCATAAAGTTTAATCTTGAGCTAATCCTCAAATACATGAGAATAATTAGGTTATCTTAGAGTACTAAATTGATATTTATACACTTTAGGGTATTTTTGTGTCCTTTTTCTCTCTATATATAACTAATTATTGTCTGATGATGAAATATCATCCTATGCTCATTGCTTATTACCTTGTTTCACAAGCTTTCTCTCTTTATTTGCCCTTTTCTGGGGTTGAAAAGCATGGCTCCTAAGTTTACAAGAAGAAGCCAAGGATATATCACAGAAAAGGACAATGACTTTTTTGTCTTAACTTAAGGACAACGACCTTGGCTCTCAAGTTTATTTGTTAAAATCTTGTTTTGATTGATACTCAATAATTTTTTTTTTGTGACATTAGTTGTTGTTTTATTAATTGTTGTTATTATTTGATAAGTTAAAATTATTTTATTGTTACACTACAAAATGGATCTCACGTTTAGAATTAGAAGAGTATATTGTAATTATTTCTTATTTTTATTTATTCTTCATATTCTAAATTTAGGATATTTAGGTAATTTTATCGTAAAGTTTAATCTTGAGCTAATCCCTAAAACCATGAGAATAATTAGGTTATCTTAGAGTCCTAAATTGATATTTATAGATTTTATGTTTTTTTGTGTGTGCGTGTCTCTCTCTCTCTCTCTCTCTAACGAATTTTTGTTTGATGAAGAAATATCATTCCCTCCTCATTACATACTGCCTTGCGTCACAAGTTTACCCTTTTTTTAGGATGAACCTTGGCTCCTAAGTTTTTGAGGAAAAGTCAAGGATATATCACAGAAAAGGACAATGACTTTTGTGTCTTATATCATCATTATAAATTGCGCCGACCTGTGAAATTATATATGCAAAACCTCATGTGACACGAATCACATGATGATATAAGATTATCATAATATAAACTTAATTATATGAAATAATGCAATTATCTAATACCTAATACTCATCCGATCCTAAATATAAGACCCTTATATATATAAGATATGAGGAGTATTATCTATGGCTTAAAAAAAGCGCTACTACCTCCGGTCCTTAATATAAAATCTTGTTTAACTTTTATTTTGATCCTAAATATAAGATCCCAATCCACTTTATCTATAATATTTATGTATTTTTTCCAAAATAGTTCTTCTAACAGTGGTAGTTCTAGCCAATGCACTTGATTAGCAAAGATATTTTAGGAAAGACAACACTTATTTATTACAAATAACTAACTTAACTTCTTTTCTTAATCTCCTTAAATTAGTCAACTAGCTCTTATAATTGGGATCGAAGGTAGTATTTCATAAAGTTTAAACATTATCACAAGCTCATTGAAGATAGTTTTCTCAATCTTAGCAATTTTCTTACATTCTCCATAAGCCAACCATCTCACCACTATTAATAATTTCACACTTTCCCTCTTTTTTTTTGCTGTGTTCATCTTCTTTTTTCCGATATGATAAAAGTTTAGGCGATTTGAGTTTTCAGAGCTCACTAGGATTATGGCATACCTTGAGGGTTCATAGAGCACTTACAAATGTATTCACAGATTGTAGATTATGAGCCGATTTTTTATCAACTAAAACAATTCTCGTTGAGATCCAATCTCTCTCTCTCACCCACAATTTTCTGGGTGAGTAACGTGTGGGCCTTGAAGTGTGAAACGGCTCAATATGGGAAGTTTTGGACCTTTTATGTTATATGGACCATTTTGTGGACTGCCCACATGTTTTGTCCAAAATACAAATCCCACAGGCCGCTGTTTCGATTACTCGTGCTCTGGGCTTCCAGATTTATTGGGCCAAGTATTTTGGGCCGTGATTAATGTGAGTGCTGAGCAGTACTCGAAGCCCAAAACACTCGCACCGGACTCGAATCTGACATTGATATGTGTATGCATGGAGGTATCTAACTGGCATTAAGAAAAGCAAGAAAAATTTATTTTATTTTTTAGTGTTTTTAATTATTCACCAGTGACTGATTTGCTAGAAATAATAATCACTGTCTTATTGGGTCGCACAAAGGAGAGGCAGCATCTATGGTTTCACATTATCCAGCCAATCTGTGCTTGACAACAGACATCTCCCCAATACAATTAATAATCCATCTCAATTCTATTCAAATAATAATAATAATAATCCATCTGAATTTATCCTTAGTTCCCCACACACAAACATACAAACAGTATTATCATCGACATAAGCCATCAAATCTGCATCAAATTATAGTTTTATTTGACTAAATGGGATTCATTATATGATGAAGGTATAAATTTGTCCCGAAAATTTTTATTTAAGAGTATTAGATACCTATAAGGTATAACAATTTTGCCCCTTATCGTTAAAAATATTAATAGTTAAAGTCGCTATTTTGATAATCAATGTTAGTTTTTTAACCGTAGATAGCAATATCACTATGATTTCAAATATTCAAAACAAATTTGCATTTAAAAAAACTTTCAAGTGCTTAGTACTATTGAGTGTAAACTTACAGGTGAATTTACACATTAACCCTTCATTATGTAGTATCAACAAATTAACTTTCAGAATGATATCATTTCAATTAATTCAAAACAACAGACAATGCTAATTCATTTCCAAAACCAATGGACAGGCGTACCTACCAAAAATTACTTCAGACCAACCAAAAACAAAAAGCCATGATGATAATGGCCTTGCTTATTCAGCATTTTAATTGGAAGACAGCTCCATATTTTTTTAATATAAAGTTTGAAGCAAATTATATTATTTATGACATAGATAACATTACATAGCTTTGTGATTATTATATATAAAATTTACAATATTAAATATAGATAAATAGATTAGTTTGGCAGTTTTAGCTTTTGGTAAGGCATCGGTGTCTGAGATTGATTGTTGATAGGTTGAGCCTCATCCATTGAACCTGCACTTTATATGAATCAGCATTGACTTCCCATTCTTATAATTAACCCCACAACCATCTACCTTTTTATCTTCTGTCATCACTAACTAAATAAAATTTACCCTCTATTATAAAACTCATTATTAATTTAAAAAAATCCACATCAAATAAGGTAAAGTATGAAATAAAAGACAAAAAAGTAGATAATAATAACAGCTGGTTCAATTTATATAGAATCTACATTACATAAAAATAAAAGAGTTGAAAGTATATTTTTAATCTAAGAGTATTTTTGAAAGAATAATTAGCATTTAAGAAATCAATGTAAGATAATTTTTTCAAATGAGTGCGATATTGCTCTTTTTAAAATGTTAATTGTAAAGTACTACCTCCGATTCTAATTATAAGATCTTATTTGTAGATTATAAACGAGATTTTATAATTATGACCAAAGATAGTATATAAATTCATTAAAGGAAACCCTAACCATGAGGTGCACATTGGTCCAATGGCCTAATCATCACATTATTGAATTATTAGTTTCATCCAAATCTTTTTTGTATTACATTGTGGGGACCCTTTGCTGAAGATGCGGAACAAGACAATTTTTTTAAAAAAAATAACTAAAATCGGATGAATATTTTTATTCATTCCATATATATAATATTAAAATTATATCATTTTATACTTTTAATATAAACTCATTTCTTATGCTCATAATGTGTTTAGTCATTACCGGTGTACTATTTCTAATTTTAGTTTAGACTGTTATGCATGGATTTTGTATGTTTAATTTATTTGTTTCATGTTTCTGTGGTTTACAAATTAGACTCTAATATGTAATTTTCTTTTTTATTCCAATGTAATGTAAGTGAGCCCAATGTGTCTTTTGTATTATTATTATTTTTTTGTTTGAATAAATTAGTCTTTTCATGAAAAAAAATCATATTAGATTTTAACTTATCTAAATTATACAAAGCTAAGCCTCAAGTGAAAATAACTTTTTCTAAAAAGTGGATGATTTTGGTTGTTACACGAACTTTTACAGAAAAGATATATATATAAGGTTAATACAATAGTCATTAATAATTATAGATAGTTACTTGGTCAAAGTCATGGATCATATTATATTTGTGGGTGATTATCCATAGGATTGGTACTTAATAAAACAATAATTAAATCCATTAATTATGAATAGAAAATTAAAGGACTTATCCTAACATCCGCTTGATTTTTTTTTTTTTTGGGGCCAAACATCAACTTGATCTAATTCTAAAATTTTGACTATGCTTGCAGGATGATCATTTTGTTTCAAATCAACTTGACAATTTGATAGATGAATTAGTAATAAGTGATAGTTAAACGACAATTTTTTTTAAACATAACATGTGTCTTCTCGTTGATGTAGGCTGGTATAGTTAAAGGATTGATGGCCAAAAAGAAAAAAAAGGTATAGGATTAAGATGATGGTTATTGCCTTACTTTGTGAGTTCAATTTTTCCCCTTAAATTTTAATTATAAATTTTCATTATGTTAATTATGAATGCTTCGCTAAGTATAATTGCTAATTGCTGGGTTGTCATCCACTCTTGCTTTAATATATTTTATGTTCTCAATTAAAAAAAATATGTATTAACAGCGTCGAATTATAACATGACCATTTATATCATTGGTTTATAGGGTTTTTCACGTCTTTCCTTCATATCTACCTACTCAATAGGGGTTTTTGGAAAAAAAACTCTAGATAAACTGTTAAATAAAATAATAAACCTTAAATATCTAAAAAGAGGAGAAATTATTAGAAATTTCAAAATTAAAAATTTAAACTTTTAAATGCCTTTTTCTCAATCTATTGTCCTGTATACTTGTCTTATTAGATTTTATGTACTTAGTTTTTTTTTTTAATATACAACTTATCTTTAAAAAAGGGCTCAAGCTTATGGCTAAAATTTGATAGTTAAAACAACTAATAATTTCTACAAGTAATTTACAAGATGGTAAGAGTCTCATCCCGTAAAGAAAAAAATACAAGTTCGAATCCTTAAAAACGTATTTATTGAGAGGGTTTTAATCGTAACTCTCCCATCTTGGATGCCTAATTGTTAGGAGGGTTTTAATCGTAATGTTCCCAACTAGATAAAAATTAGTTTCAAGTCCAACGTGGCTTGATAATATTCAGGTTCTAAAAAAAAAAAATCTATGAGTGATTTGAAATTTACTCATTGGAAAAAAAATTTAATACGAAGATGAAAACAAAATGATGAAATGTTTGATACGAAGGACTATTCTTGAAGCTATATTGTAGATTCTAAAATTTAGAATAAAGTTTTAAGAATTTTCAATATAAATTCTTGGAGCTCTTTTAAACCTTAATTGCAAATTTTAGAATCTGTACGCAATTTTGAAGGAGTTGATCATTTCCGTCAAATATTTCACTCTTTTAATCTTTAATCTTTAAGCTCAATTTTTCTCTAATTATTATATTAGCTCTTTCATGTAAAATGAGAATTTAATTAAAAAGGGAATAATAATAATTAAAAAAAAAATAGAACGACTCACCTGAATCCTTTATAAGGGCTTCCTTTACCGTCTCTCCGACCTTCAACCTGCCAGTGCGGCTGCGATCTTCACCCCCTTTCACTCTCTCTCTCTCTAACCACTATTTTTCTGTTGGATTACCATCTCTTCCAAAACTCTGAAACAATCTCTCTTTATCCTTAATCAGTCACCGAATACTTGATTCTTCTATTTTTTGCTTTTCTCCTTCAAATCCTTTCTCAGATTCTTCATTCTTTCCTCAATTTCTGCTCATCAGAATCAGTGGTTCGTAATCTTTGTACTCACAAATCTCTCAGTGGTTGAATCCTGCTTTGTACGCTAATATCAAGAAAAAGAAACCATCAAGAGATTGTACTTTTCAGGCAAGGAAAGAAAGAATCAACGAGGATTCGATTCGGCGCCGACATGGCCTCATCTGTGATCTCAAATCCTGTAACCAACTCCGATCGGTCACGCGACGCCTCCAAGAGGAGGAGGAAGAAGAAGGCTCCGGCTCAGAAGAATCACCAAGAAGATCAGATTCAGAATCACGCTAGATGGAAATCCCAGGCTCAGCAACAAATCTACACCTCCAAGCTCCACCGAGCATTGGCTCGACTGAACCTCGGCGACGGCTCTTCCGGCTCCGGAAGCGGCGATGCTCCTCGACGAGGGAAAACAATCCGCGAAGCCGCTGATAGGGTCCTCGCCGTTACTGCCAATGGGAGGACTAGGTGGAGCAGGGCGATTCTCGCGAACCGGCTCAAGCTGAAGTTCAGGAACCACAAGAGGAAGAGAGTGGCGACGGCGTCGAGGCTGGCTACCGGCAGTAGCCGGTCGAAGAAGCCAAGAGTGAGCGTTTTCCGGTTGAAGGGAAAGACCTTACCGGCAGTGCAGAGGAAGGTGAGGTTCCTCGGCCGGTTGGTCCCGGGTTGCCGGAAACAACCATATCCGGTGATTCTAGAGGAAGCCATCGATTACATATCGGCAGTTCAAATGCAAATCCGAGCCATGACCGATCTCGCCGACCGACTCTCCGCCTCTTCTTCCACCTCGACCTCCGCACCCCCTGGTTAATCCGCGCGGTGACTCAAACTCAATGTTAAATTTTTTTCCTCTCTTTTTCCTTTTTGGTTTCCTTAATTTTCATTTTCACGATTTTCTTTGATCCAACCTGTGTTTCTGCCAAGTAAAGATTTCTGAATCTGTGAAGTACATATATAAATATATCTCGTTCCCTTCTCTCTTCAAGTCGAATCAGTCTCATACTTGGCTTCAAGACTTAATTCACCAGTATTTCGTGTAATCCTCCGTTCTGATTATAGCTGAACTCGAAATTAATCATATCAGCAACATTGAAACAGTCGTGTATGAATCATGTGAATCTTTGTTCCGGATCTGATGTATTGTGAAGAATAGTTGCTATACAGGACACCTGCGATCTTTCATTCTGAATGTTCATACATTGTTGCAACTGTCTCATGGCCTTCATCGATATCTCAGATGGTGCCTGGCGAGTCAGAACCTAATAACAGAGCACTTTCGGTGTCAGCGTGCTAATTGTTTAAAATTTGTGCTAAAAAATTATTTTAAAACTTTCCTCTGAAAAAAAGAAAAAGGCAGGATTGCTAACAAATCTCAAATCCAAAAAAATAAAAATATTATTATTAAAAAGTTGGTTAGTTCTATTTATTTGTTATTCGGACTTTTTGAGATTGTTTTTTTGGACTTAATAGTAACTCTTCCAAAAAACAATATTTTTTTTTACTATAAAAGAGGATTTGAAACCCTTTAAAATAGAGCAAGAGAGTGTGGGTTTATTATATTTCAGTCTTTCAATTCAAGCCCTTCAAATGTATGAGGTGAGAACAGATGAGGTGGTAAGCAGAGAATGTGATGCAAAATTGCAAATGTAAGTCTAGATTTCATAACTCATTGATATAAAAAAATTGAAAAAAAAAAGAGTTTCTATTGAATAAAGTATCTATTTGAATTAGTTGTGAAGAAATAATTTTACATGTTACGAGATAAATATGTAAGAGTAATTTTATAATATAAATTGCTCTTCTGTCTTTTTTTCCTTTCTTATAATAAACCGTCTTATATTATTGGTTGATTGTGTTTAGCTAAAATGATTTAAGACTTAATCTATGTTAGAATGAATAATTCAGATTTAAAATTTTTAAATCCAAACACATACCACCTAATAACTAATTTTTATCTTATCTTTAATCAGTTTGCAAATTATAACTAATACTCCTCCGGTCCTTATTATAAGACCCCATTTGACTTTTTATTTGGTCCTAATTATAAGACCCCAATCCATTTTGTTTCTTATATTTATGCATTTTTTTTCAAAATAATCCTTCTAATAATGATAATTTTAGCCAATATACTTAATTAGCAAGGATATTTTAGGAATGACAACACTTATTTATTATAAATAACCAACTTAACTTACTTCCTTAATCTCCTCAAATAAGTCAATTGGGTCTTATAATTAGGACCGGAGGAGTAGAAACTTAACTCACAATTGGTTTAGTTAGTAAAGAGTTGGCTTGTAATCTATAATGTCATGATTTTGAATCTCATCACTGATGTAAAAACTTTGTTAGTAAATTTTGTCTAATCCTGAAAGCAGGTCCTGACCCTAATAAGTTATTTGAATCTAACTCATCTAAACTTTTTTACACCAAAAAAACTTGTGTATTAAAAAAAACTCACTTAACATGATATTTCTATGAAAATTAATTAAGATTAAAACCACCTAAAATCTGATATTGTGGTGTTATATTTTCTATGAATGTAAGAGGGTGTTTGGATGAAAACCAAACAATGGTTTTAAAAGTGATTTTACGGCCTACAAGATAAATATGTGAAGGAGTTTATCTCGATTTATAAAAAGTGCTTCTGAGAAGCACTTTTCAGGATACACCCTAACTCTCTAAATTAGCAAGTGGCACTTAAATAACTGGGTGATTCATATCACACACACACAGCCATGAATAGCGTGCAGAGAAGACAGAAAGAGGGACAAGAGACAGGCATGTGTAGAACAGTAGAAGTGGAAGTGCTAGCATTGGGAAATGTAAATTGAAGGTCCGGGGGAAATGTGTGTCTGTGAGATTCTTTGGTCCCTGTCTTCATTTCTTTCCTTCTGCATTGATGAAGACTGGGAATGCGGAGAGCATCCCTTTTTTATTGAGGTTTCTGAAAATGCCCATCAACATATTCATCACCCTGCCCTAACATCCCCGCGTGGCTATGGGGATGTGGCCCCCACCTTGTCCCCAATAATTCTTTTATTTAAATTATTTTATTTAATTCATTGTTTGAAAAAAATATTATAAAGTCAAAAAAAAAAAATGAACCACTAAAAAATGTTGCAAGCAGTATAAGTTTTTAGTATAAAAAGTAATAATGGGTTCATGTTGTTGATTTATTCTTCTGACATTTTGATTATTACTTTTTTTGAAAACTTATAGTAATTTTAAGGAAAAATTTAAACCATGTATATGCAAAATTAAAAATTTATTATAAACGACATCCTGTTTTGACTGTGATTCATGTCCCCGAACAATTTGTAACCAGAAAACTAAACAAAAAAAAATCCGACATTATTTTAATACCAACAACATAAATGAAAGTCATATATAAAGTTTTAAAAACAAATCATATTACATGGTTAGTATAAAAGTTAATTAACTAATTTAAGTATATTTAAAAAAATTAATTAAGTTTGTTATTTATAACAAATAAGTATTATATTTTCTAAAATATTCCTGCTAAATACATATTAATTAGAACTACTATTTGACGAAACATTTAACACTCACAACTACTACAAGAGGAGAAAAAAAATAATAAATACAAGAGACAAAATGAATTTGGATTTTATGTTTAAAATTAAGTTGAATGTGAAACTAACTTTTTAAAGTACTAAGCACATGATGTAGTACTATGTATATATACATGCATTACTGTGTGAATAATACGCGACATTATTTATAAAGCTAAGGTAGGAAGAGGGTGGCTTTCAGTCTGAAGATCCGTACAACGTTATGGGGAGGTGCATGGGCGTGCTGGGAGAGGGATAGGAGGGGCGGCTCTCTCTCTCTATACATATATATATATACTCTTCCGGTCCTTAATATAGGACCTAATTGTTGAGTTGGTTTTGGTCCTAAATATAAGGTCTATTTATCATATTTATCAATTTTCTCTAAGTTACCCCTATAGATACTCTCTCAACCATAATCAAGTAGAAGAGGGAGATGTGGTATTAAGAAAGATTATTATGGTGTTTTAGGAAAAATGTGTCACATTTCTTATAATAAACTAACTTAACTAACTTCCTTAATCTAATCAAATTAGTTAAATGGGTCTTATATTAAGGATCGGAGGAGTATATATATCTCTCTAGGTGTGGTGGCCAACAGCGCACGAGTGCCACAGTTTCGTCGCTTTCCTCGCTTCAATTATTCATTCTCTGGACCACTTCTTCTTCTTCAACCAAGCGCCACTAAACTTCGTCCATCCATCTTTCCCTTTCTGATCCTCTCTCGTCTCTTTTTCAATAATAGGTTAATTTAAAGCATTAAACTGAAAATCTAACCATCCTAATGTTTTATAGTTAGTATGCATAAATATTCTTTTTAAGTGCATTAGCACACATAAACATTTTTAGATATATAGAGCATAACCGTCAAGTGTAACTAACATATGTTGTGTTATAATATCAAGACACTAAGGTACTGTTTAGTACAAGGGAAATGAAGAGTATGAGAGAAAAAATTTTAATGAGCTTTATTAAAAAAAAAATTGAAGAGTGGGGTTTTAAAATTTCAACAAAGAAAAGAAATAATATAAAAAGAGTAATAAAGATTAATTAAAAGCTTTTGACCCTGGGAAGCACACTTGTTGGGAAGCCTTCGACCTTAACACTCCCGACTTAATAGAGGTTAGTCTCAAATCCAAAGTGGCTCGAGAATACTTGACTCATACTAAGAAAAAATTAGACATAAAATATGAGTGTTTTTAAAAGTTTAATTCTTCTTAATATTAAAAACTTAAAATTAAATTATGTAAAATTTTGATTCATTAAGCATTATCTAACCAAGAATATACTTAAATCATGGGCGTCCTTGTCAATCAAGATACATGGATGCATCCAGAATTGTTGGGGAAAAAAAACAAATATACACATGTGTGTGTGTATGGACATTTTCAAAGCAAATGACATGGTTACCAACTTGCAACAAAAATGTTACAATCACAACAAAGCCATATTCATGAAAATGAGAGATGAACAAAGAGGTCTATTCTTCTCTTCTTATGGTGTCTTGTCATAAAACTTGCCCTTCATATTCATACTTGGTAAATTTTTAAGAATATATATGTATAAGTTTGGACAAAATAAAACTAGCAAAATTAAAGTTTGTCGAACATTGTGTTTAAATAAGATTTATTTTTATTTTAAATATGAGATCTTAATTAATTTTATCTCCCAAATTAATAATTTTCCCTCACAATATATTTATTGATGATTTGGTGGTATATATCATAGGGTTTAATGACTTAAAAATGAGTATTTTAAGAAAACTAATATGTAATTTTTTTAATAAATAACTAACTTAACTAATTTTCTTAATATTTATAAATTAATTATATAACTTGTGGGTTTAAAGAGAAAAGTTATATTTTAAGAAGTTTTGTTCAGCATATTTATTAATTTTTGCATGCATTTCGTGATCACAAACTTGGTTTCTCTCCTCATGAACCATAATTTGAAGTAGTTAAAAAGCGTCATTTTAAGATCAGTGACCAACTAAACTTCACACACAAAAACAAATGCATAAGAAAATAAAATTAGCAGAGTTAAATAATATTTTAATGTTAGAATGTGGAAGTATAATAATCAAGATTAGGCCTTTAATTATTTGTCCTTTGAAAGATCCTAAGAGAATAATTGATGTGCGCTGTGATTGAGTTGGACATCTCTCAACATATAGTATTGTTTATTTAAAAGGGGAGGGAATACATTTTTATTAGGGAATAATAAATTAGTATTTTTTGCCCCACAATAAATTAATTAGCACTAGTTGATAACTTTGCATTATTATTCCATAAATTAAAGCATCATTTAAAAGAATGGTTATGTCTTTAAAATTAGTTTCTGATTCCTATCCACAGATTTAGTTACATTTCAATTAAAACACTTATAAATACTCCTCCAGTCCTTAATATAGGACCCAATTACTGAGTTGGTTTTAGTCTTAAATATAAGACTCATTTTTCATATTTATCAATTTTCTCTAAATTACCCCTATGGATACTCCTTCAACTAGTAGAAGAAGAAGATGGGGTATTAAGAAAGATGATTATGATATTTTAGGAAAAACGTGTATCATTTATTATAACTAACTAACTTACCTAACTTCCTTAATCTAATCAAATTAGTTAAATGAGTCTTATATTAAGGACTAGAGGAGTATTTTTGATTCTAAAATTAATAGAAACGTAACATTCCTGGACAAAAAAACAGAAGTGTGGCAAAAATTAAGGAATGTGGCAGCTAAATGTCACAAGTGTTTTTTTTTTTTGGCCAACAAGATCATAAGATCAATTTCATTCAATGAACAAAATTAAATTATTGTTGATTTTTCTTGAAGTTATTAATCTCCATCTCTAAAATTATAATTTGATTCCTATACGGTACAATGGCTTTTTTTTTCAGTTTTTTTTTTGGTAATATGAAAATATAACTGAAAAAAATATAAGATAAAATTTTTAGAAATAATAAAAACAATAAATTGTTTTGAAAACATTAGCTGCTATTAATAT